TGCCCTTGTTCTCCTTGAAGACTTGTAGCAGTAGTGTGAGAGATAGTTCACTGGGAGTTGATGTTTATTTTTCTAACTTGATGTTGAGGCATTTTCTTTATTCTAGTTGTGCTAAATGTGTGAGTTTTGGTAGTCTTTTCTTCCTTCTTTTGAGGGTGTGCTGGGAGATTTGAATTGATGTAATCACCCTACCTTGACTGTCCAGAGTTCCATTTCTTTAGTTTGATACCATTTAGAATGGTTTTTTTTTTTTTTTTTTTTTTGGCTGTAAGTATCAAAGATGCTGGGCTCAGATTGCCTTAGACAGCAGGAAAATGCATTGCTCCACCTGTACAGGAAATCCAGTGCAGGATGTTCCAGGCTTGGTAGTCAGGAACTCTGTCTCAGTGCACCCTGGCTTCTCAGGCAAGATGGCAGCAGCAGTCTCGTGAACACAACAAGGTCCAGGGTCCATTGAATTCTGTCTAAGATTGGATTATCTAGAAGCAGATCCTGATTTGGTGGTTCTTGTGCAAGTGACTGATGTGCGAGTTTTTGATAAAGTCCTTTCAGGAGACATCTATAGGGGTGGCAAAGATGTGGTTTTTGGAGAAATCTTGTCTCAGCCTGATCCCATGGGTAACTCTGGAGCATAAATGGCACCAAAGAATTTGTCTTAAGGGAGACAGAACAAGGGGGCTTGACTATATCTCTGCATCAGTCGTTGATCATAACTGGGACATGTTTCTTCTCATAAATCAGTTATAGTCTGGGCAAGTTCTACCATGATTGGTTTAGACTAGTTGAGATGGAAGAGTAGTAATCTTCCTTTGAGTCAAGTGAGAAAGGATTGGATTCTGGAACAAAACTGAGAAAGAAGGGAGGAAGTGAATTCAGCCAGGCAACCAGCCATGTGTGTGGAAGTGTCCATCCTGTGCTTGGCATTAGGGAAAGAGAAGTGGACATACCCACAAAGGCCTGCGCTCCGAGCCCAGCCAGGAAGACAGACAGTGAAAAATAGTTTGGGGTTCTGATAAGGACTGTGAAGACAAAGCAAGGTAAGGGAATAGGGATGTCTTGAAGAGGCTACTTTACGTTAGGTGGTTACATTGGAGTTGAGGCCTAAAAAAGCAAGGGAAAAAGAGGATTCTGGGAGAGGGAATGACGGTGCAGAGGCTGAAGGTAGGGACAAGTTTGGGGTATTTGAGGAGCAGGACAGGGTCAGTGTGGCTGCAGGGTTGTGAGAGAGGGCAACAGTGACAGGGGAGAGGCCAAGAGGGAGGCTGGGCCAATCATGCAAGCTGTGTAGACTGTAACAACTCGCTTATGGTCTGTGAGAAGCCATTGGCAACTTTGAGCAGAGCATATTTAAAATATCTTTTTTGCCAAGTGGAGAATGGGCTGTAAGGAGGTAAGAGAGGAAGCAGGGCTATCAGTGAAGACACTAATGCCGTCGTCCAGGCCAGAGATGATGGTGGCTAGGACCAGGGTAGTGGCTAGGGAGCAGGAGAGAAGTGGATACGTTGGGAATTTCTTTGGAGGTAGGGTCCATGAGAGCTGCTAATGGACTGAATGTGCCAGGTGCACATACAGTGAAGGGAAGAGGCCAAGGATCGCCCCTGGGTTTTGATCAGTTGGGTGCATGACGATGCGGCTACTGAGACAAGGAAGACTGGGGGGGGGGGGGGCAAGTGGGGG